ATATATAATTGTTAAAATACTGTTCTTGTATTTTTCTATAATGTTAAAGATTTAATAAATAAAACTATATATAATTTAATTAAGAAATAATTGTTCAGTTTCAGAATCTCACGTCGAATATTTTAAACAAATCAAAGATGATCAAGATATCAAAGATGATTACGGAAAAAATTTTGATATTAAATTTGTTGGAGAAGAAGGGCAAAGCGTACGTGATTACCAGGTATTAGATGACACGCATAAAACTGTGACGATCGTAAAAAAAATCGCGGTACCGTATCCTGTAGAAAAGACTATTAGATATCCTGTGATCAAGAAAATACCATATCCAGTTAAAGTGCCGGTCCCACAACCGTATGCAGTCGAGAAGAAAATACCATATCCTGTAAAGATCTTTGTCAAAGTTCCTATTAAAATTCCGCGACCGGTACCGGTTGTCAAAGAGGTTCCGTATCCGGTTAAGGTACCGGTGGATCGTCCTGTTCCAGTCAAGGTATACATTCCGAAACCATATCCCATCGAGAGGAAGATACATTATAAAGTAAAAATCCCAGTACCGCAACCCTATCCCATCGAACGAAGAGTACCTGTACCGGTAAAGGTACCGGTACATGTACCTCAACCCTTTCCAGTCGAGAAAATTGTTCATTATCCTGTGAAGATCAAGGTGAATAAACCGAGACCGGTTCCGGTCCCGAAGCCATATCCGGTACAAATCGCGAAACCGGTTCCGTATCCCGTTGAGAAGCCGGTGCCAGTTCCGGTCAAAGTGAAGGTGGAAAGACCGGTACCGGTTCCGGTGGACCGACCGGTGCCGGTCAAGGTCAAGGTTCCAATACCAGCGCCGTATTTAATCGAAAAAAAGGTACCATATGCCGTTGAGAAATTTGTACCTATACCGGTAAAGGTACCGGTAGAGAGGCCAGTGCCGGTTCACGTGAGCAAGCCGGACGAGTACCACATCGAAAAACCTGTTCCCTATCCAGTTAAGGTGCCGGTCGCGGTGCCACTAAATGAAGGTACCAAAGAATACAGTCCTTCATAAAAACGAGGCATTATTTGATATGATATGATAATGGAGTTGCTAGAGTAGCTGCCAGAGAGGCTTCGAACTTCGATCAAGGCATTTCTCGATTTGAAGATATGTAATAATCAAAAATAAAAGAACACACAAAATTCATAAGTCTTTAACATGAGACTAAAATTAATATAATAAATAGTTGAGCATTTGCCTTCTCTTAAGGTATATTTATTTTCATTATGTAGAATTTTACTCTTAAATGCATATGAAAAGTATGTATAACGCCATCTTCGCAACATGTATTGTTACTGCGTTCAGTATGTATCGACAGAATCGTCTTTATCATAGTGTACAGTGTTGCTGTGAATATTGTATTATTATGAAAATAATTGGTTATTGTTTAATAAAGATCTCCCCCGAACCGGTCACATCCTAAATGACATTTTAATTTAAAATTTTAAATGCTTCTGTTAAATTCAAGTTAATTGATTTCAACTTTTGTTTCTATAATTGATCAATTAACAATTTCATCAAACCGATTAACGCGTAAAAGGAGATAATCGGTCAGGCAAGATGGTAGTAGAATGTAATTGAATAAATCGCAATTAACTTTTTGTGCGATACGATAATTGATGTTTCTTGACCATTAAAGTTTCTTTCTATCACAGTCTTTCAATATCAGTCGTATGTACTTTCATAGTGTCGTAATTACACGGAGATTGGATTGATACATTTTAATTGATCTCTGTAAAATACTAATCAATCAACGATATTGATTGTGATTACAAAATATTCTTTTGTAATATTATAAGAAATGGCATAATAGATTATACATGGTATAAGATTCATGCTATTTGTGTTTAACTTATATGTTTAACTTCGAAATAAATATTTAATAAATATTATTTCATGTCGCGTAATTTAAAATAATTTTGATAAATAAGCATTATATTACTTTTATTATGCAGCATATGTTATTTTTATTATTTAATTATCAAATTATTTTCTTATTTCTATGTCATGGAAAATAAAATTCAGATACTTTAAAACAAATTTTATCTGAATTTTTCAATTAGATCGCGAATATAAATATATATCTATAATAAATATCACACCGTCTCTTACGGTTTAATTTATTAATTTTTAATTCATTAATAAATCGCATTATGTTTTAAGATTGATTTGAGCTTTTTAGTAAACACTATAAATGTACATAAATCTACATATAATCCATATAAATTTATTCATGCCAATTATAGTTCATGCCAATTATAGTTGTTATTGTCGATAATGAACATATTATGTTATCTATTTATTAAACAAACAAATATATTGTTTTCTATTAATTTAAAAATTAAAATTATTTTTTAGTGTTTCTAATGTAGGATTTAAATTTATAATCTTCCTCAACTTTCACTCACGATCACGATATATTAATATTGACAACATACATTACAGATACAGAAAGACATTTTCAAATCTATCGCGTCTCTCAAACTCCTCACAGGATACTTCCAGGTGTAGAATGGAGTTAATGCACTTCCACGTGCGAGGCAATTACGGTTATACGTCGCTCTTATATCACTTTATGCTTTTCTTTACGGCGAGTGCAAACTTTACGAAATAAATGATTATAGTTCGCGTAATAAGTATCCAAAGCGGCGTGTGTTACGATTTCACTTCAACTCTTCCGTGTTGTAAAGATACTACTCCGTTCGATCTACGTACACTCGATGCATTTATTACCATTAATCATTATTATGATAAACATTAGCGCCACATGTTTCTTTATATTATTATAATACCAATGCAAAAATTAAAAATAAGCGAAATAAAATGAACAGCCGTCTTAGCTGGAACTGCCGTGGCTGAGTGACGAATGATTTTTCTTTTTCTCTTCGTATCTCCGGGAAATATCAGAAGAAAGTTTCGAGAAGCGCGTATAAATATAGGCGTTTAAGTGGTTAAAACAACCGCCAAAGCGGGAAAGTTCTTTAAGAAGGCGAGATGTGTGGAGAGCACTTTTACACCGGTTTTGGTTTCACTAGTATTACTGATCTAGGAAATTCGATCGAGTTACTTAATTTGTTGTAGAAGAAAGTATTAATCGTATCGTACGTATTGTGCGATACGCATAAATATACACAGTTTGTTTACAAAAAAGCGACGGCGTTTGATTAAATTAATGCAACAGCTTCACAAAATATTAAATTATTTTTCTCTGTAAATATAGCAATTATTTGATATGATATGAAAATTTGCAAATTAATATATTTATTTGAATTATATGGATTTGTAAAATTTTTTATTAAAATTCTTTCTTTGAAATTTACTCTATAAAATTTGGATTTTTCTATATAATTTGCAGTGCTTTATATACCATTAACATTATCATTATTAACGAGAGATCAAAGAAATTCTTTCGGCAAAAGATAAGAAAAATTAGAAGATTAGTGTTTATTGGAAAATGTGATCAGATATTCTGAGAAGGCAAAAATTTCATGGCAATACAAGAATCTTTCAATTTTATGATTCGACATAGAAAGTGCCTATTCACTTTCATCGGTTATTCGTAAATAGCATAACTAATCCGCTATTCTTATTGTATAAATTAATGAACTAGAACGTATAGAACTGTAGATTGTAACGTATGCATTTCTGTCGCATTTCTGTATTAAATAATTTGTTTTACAAAAGTAAATATTCTTATTGTTATACTAAACATAAACATTATTTGTATAACATTATGTGTATAAAAAAATAAATAAAGTTTTTTAATATTACATAAAACTGAATATTATTGAATAAAATATTTTATATGTAATAAAAAAAAATGTTATGTAACATATAAAAAGCAACAATAATATAGATGTTAATATAAGTGAATAATATAAGTATAAAATACCGAGGCTAATTCACATGGAGCAATTAAATTTGAAAAGCAAAAAATTTGTTTCGTGGAAATTTTTGCATTTCTTTAGAAGGGATGGATCGTGATTCAAACTGCTTACGCGTTTTGCGTACTGCCACTGTTTTAAAATAGGCGGCATGGTCCATTCCTTGCGACTGAATGGCGTTCGTAGTTAAGCCGCAAAACAATGATAATCATTTAAGCGTAGATAATCGTCACGAATAAGGTACTGCAAGGCTATAAAGGTCTAGCTAGTTAAACCGGCGAAAGTAGTCTATGGTATATAAATAATAATAATAGTGGGATACCTTTCCGTTTAGATTCAGTGTAAGTTGATCTATGGTCTTGATCGCAAAGGCATCATGAGACATCAGGTATTTTAATTAACTACATCATTAATTTTTCTTTCATAATAAATATTCTTTTGTCATAAATTTTATAATTTTACGCATTATTTTGATTAGAATTATATGTCCAATTAAAAATCTTGAAATATATAAATTTTATAAGGGAGCGAAAATCTATTTTATTCAGATTTTAATCAGATTAGATATATCTTGAAATTTAAAAATATTTTTCTATATTTCATTTACAACTGTCTTTTTATTTTTAATATGTATTTTTTTTTAATAGAGAGAGTGTTTAATAGCATTTCTGTGCTTCGGAATTGCCCTTACGTCGTCGGCTAGTCGTAGAGAGGAGCTCGAGAGGGCCGCTGAACTTGCAGTGGAAAAGGCAGCTGAAAGAGCGGCCGAGAGGGCAGTAGAAAAAGCTTTGAATAGCGGGAATAGTACGACGGAATCCAAGACTATTCGTGAATCTTATTCCAATGTTAGAAAAGATCCGTGCAAAGAGAAGAAAGAGAACGACGATTTCGACGATAGCAGCGTGGAGCCAGATGATGAAGTGGAACCAGAAGAAGACGCGGACCATTGGAGTAGATATTTACGAAATTCGAGATTTGCCTCTCGACGCACAAGAGACAGAGACTTTCGTGCATGGCTCAGCAAGATCGATTTTAAAGACATGACGGATATCTGGAAAAGATTTCCGAGGAGTGATTGGTCCCACGAGGACACGAGTTGGGATAAACCGAGCAAAAAGATCGTGACCGTGCAGAAGAAGGTACCAGTACCAGTACCAGTGACGATCGAAAAGAAAATTCCATATTCAATCTACAAGCACGTTCCTTACGAGATCAAAGTACCTGTATCACAGTCTTACACAGTGGAGAAGAAAGTGCCTTACCCGGTCAAGGTCTACGTGAACGTACCGGTTGAGGTGCCGGAACCTTATCAAGTCGAGAAGCAAGTACCTTACAAAGTGAAGGTCGATAACCCTGTGCCGTACAAAGTCGAGGTGCCACTACTGCAGCCATATACAATCGAGAAGAGGATTCCGGTCGAGGTAAAGGTACCGATATCGCAGCCGTATACCGTCGACAAGCCGGTACCCTACGAAGTCAAAGTACCTGTCAAGATACCGACACCGTATGAGGTTGAAAAAAAGGTACCAGTACCAGTTAAGATTCCTGTTGACCGGCCATATCCGGTACCAGTGCCGAAACCGTACCCAGTAGAGGTCACCAGACCGTATCCGGTTGAAGTGACTAAACCGTATCCAGTAAGAATTAAAGTACCTGTGGAGAAACCGTATCTAGTGCCGGTCGAGAGGCCGGTTCCGGTACCTGTCAAAGTGCCGGATCCCCAACCATATACCGTGGAGAAACCAGTGTCGGTGGAGATAGTGAAACCTTATCCCGTCCCGATTAAAGTACCCGTGGACAAACCTTATGAGGTATACGAGACGAAGTCGGTGCTTATACCGGTGAAAAAGCCCTTTCCGTATATCGTGCAAGTGCCGGTACCCGTCAAACCCGGTTGGAAGAATCGTACCAAGGAAGATTTACTAGAGAGCGAAAGCGCCGAGACTAAGTGGCGATGACCGCAATGGTCAGATGAATCATTCAATTGATAAAACCGCAGGTGGTTATTTGCTAGCAATTCATCGTGCATTAAGTATATAAAAAAATATATCATATAAAACGCGACAAATAAATTTAATATAATTTAGGAAAAGGTGGAAAGCATATAAAATGAGAAAATTAAATTAATTAGAATAAATTAGTATCTGAGACTTGTTAAATTTGGAAATTTTCAAGTTTTAATAGTTAAAGTAAATATCAATTTATAATACAAAACGAACAAACTCTAATTTTATCATATACATTGTGTAAAGTTATTCTATTTAATACTTTTTTACTGATAAAATGACTGAATTATGTTTATTATATTATACTCGTGTAGAAAAAATATTCGATTATTAGAAAACATATCAATTATGTATTAATGATTATGGATATGTTTATAGAAATTTAAGAGAATGCGTGCACATTATTATAATCGAAATATTATACTTTTTTATTTAGGGAAAGTAATTATGTATATTTGTTAACTAAGTAAATAAGTTTAATCAGAAGAATTTCTTTAAGGTAAACTCGTAATGTTCGAGAAAGTTTAGATTCTCTAATTAAATGATCATATCACCAACTTCTAAGTTTATGTGTTAAAATTAACTAATCGTCTCTTAATTATGTAACATGAAACTCTCTAACTGATTTACGCAACAGAATCTGCGTATATATACATTTTCATTGATTTATATGAGTATTTAATTATTATTTTAAATATGTATAAATAAAACCGAAACACATGATATGACTAAAATTAATTTCCTAGTTAATCATTATTTCCTTATCCGTGCTTGATTGGAAGAAAGGAAATAAAGGACGGTCGTAAAGTCGTAGTGATAAAACCAGATTTTGCTTTCGTTGCCGTATAATTACATAAAAATTGCAAATAACTCTATTTAATTCGTCTGTACCGTTTTTGCCACGACACCTGCACCGAATTTTGCATTCATTTCCTGACTTAATTAAGAAAATAAAACTTGTGTTTTGTTTTAACACGATTAGGAAAGAAATTACGTGAATTATATAAAGTATTTTTTAATTTTTCATATAATTCTATATATATTTATAATATATACCATTAATTAAATTATTCATTTAATAAGAAACAAATTATTTATTATTTAAACAGAGCCAATTTTTATACAATAAATCCTAATACTTAAAAAATATATTTAACTTGTATACTTTACTTTGCTAAGATTTAATAAAACTGTTAATTAATGTTGTACTGTGTATATTATAATGTGTACTGTTAATAAATGCATTAAACAGTGAAACTGCAATTTTTATTGTATCGTGAAGCATCTTAGCTACTTTAATCTGCTCTAATTTTAACCAACGTAATGTCTGGACGTTCACTTTTTTTTCTTTAGCAATAATTAGTTTCGCTTACTCCTTTTCATTTTTTCACTATATAGTTATCGTTAGATACACATCTATCTCCGAATATCAAATTAAGAATTAAAATTTTGAATACTACTGCATCTTAAATAAATGTATTCCCAGTCTTTGGCCGAGTAAAATAATTTACTCTCTAATTTGATTAATTTATTTCACTTTTCTCTTTAAATTTTCTTCTTTATATATTTATTGTATAACTAATAGCTAAATTCATTAATATTTTTTCCCCATGTTTTGTTTTACGTATGATTAAAAAATTATATTCTGTCATTTTTGTCCAAATCGTTTACCTCTTCTACTTTCTTTCATTAGTACGTAACCAATAATCTTTTCGATATATCTTCTAATTGCAGGGAGTAATTAAATTCGCTGTGCACGCGTACGCGATAGCAAAATAAATAGCAAAATAAAATATTTGATAACATCTGAAACCCATCAGAAACCCATCAGAACCTACGCGAATTCAATCTTAATTACATTCATTATCGTTCTATGCTTTTATACATAATTTCCCCCGTCGTTCTCTCTCTCTCT